ATATATATATATATATATATATATATATATATATATATATATATATAATTTTCTTCCATTTATTTTAATTTTTTCAATTTATATGTTTTCTTTTATGATTGTCTACAGTTGTCATCATTTTTTTGTTACAAACAGGTGTCTTGTAAATGAGTCCTCGAGACTCAATGAGACTAACCTGTACATAAAGGAGGTTAAATGAATAGTTTGTAGAAAGTCCAGTTTCTCTTCTTTATTTTGAAATTCACATACCGGAAGTGGTGTTATACTGGTGTCCCGCTGCTTCACGGTGAGTGAACCAGTTGAGGGCAGGCAGGGCGACATGGTCCGCACCAGTTAGTTCCCGGGTCTGTGGAGTGGGACACTTTTTATCCTAGCGGAGCACAGAAACCCGCATCAGGAGCCGGACCGGGGTTTGGACCAGGACTCAGGAGCAGGCGGACCCGGACTCGGTTGGACCAGGACTCGTCAGAATGGGAGCGGTGAAGTGAAGACCACCGAAGAGCTGCTCGGACTGCGTGGATGAACCGAGTAAGTTCTTCCGATCCGGGTCTAACTCTACAAAGTCACCAGATAAGTTGTAGGAAATGTTCTGGTTTCAGACTCAAGTTCGGGGCCACATTGTGGGACTCGGAGACTGAACGGTACCGGGACTTGTGGTCAGATCAGGTTTCAGGTTGTTCCTCTCCGCCCTGGACTTGTCCGGACTGGCCTGACTGGACCCAGGGGGACAGAACAGAACCAAGGCTAATGTGTGTGGTGGAGGGCTGTGATGATCAGAGGAGGTCCAGCTGTGCTGACAGCTGGGAGGGCGGGTTCTCCTGGTTCTGATGGACTGGTTCTGATCTCCACGAAGAACCAGATCTGTGGGACACGCACTCTGTGAAGTTCATCCTGATCTCTCCCACTTGGGGAGGATCAGATGAATGGATCATTGATCAGAACTTTGTCTACTGGATAAAGATGATCTCAGTCTGTTGTAACATACCAGATGTTGCTGCTAGGAGAACATCTGTCAAGCTGACTGAGTTACGGCCACTTGGTTGTGGCAGCCATCTTGAGTCAACTTTAGTCAAGTTTAATTAAAGTTAGTTTGATGTTCACAGCTTTTTTGTTTTGTTCTACTTGTGAATGAAGTCGCACAAAGACTTGGCGATTGTTTTTACCCAGATGTTCTTCCTGACTCGCCCACAGACCAGAGCTACCACAGCCCTCTGTGTGCAGCAGAGAGCTGCTGTCTAGGGCACCTGGGAGAGAAGATGGTGGGGGTTAAGGGCCTTGCTCAAGGGCCCAGAGTGGGGCAATTGAGGGTGTTTCAACTTCTCCACCCACATTTTGATGTTGTCGGTTCGGGGAGTTGAGCCGGCGACCTTCCGATCACAGGCCCACCTTCTCTAACCTCTGCACCACCCTGCACAGAAACGTACAGCGAACAATGAAAATCAGCACGTTTTCAAAATTTGCAAACCAGGAAGTGAAAATAATCCGCGTCCGACGACAAAGCAGAAACATGAGGTTAGATTTGCAAAATAGGCTCAAATTTCAAATGTCTTTTTTTTAAAGAACTTGACTGAAATTCAATCGCACACATTTTTAATCTCTTGTGTCGTACATTTGTAAAAAAAAAATCTGAGAAATCAAACATTTAGTTGAATGAAAAGAACCAAGATCAATAGAAATGTTTTAGCTATTTGCCAGTGGCTCTGTAAATTCACCATGGTAACCTCATCTCTGTCTCTCACTCCCTGACAGGAGTCTTGAAGAGACTGGTAGACAGAAGTGTAGATTAAAAGGAAGCCTCAAAAAACAGCCTTAGGGCAAAACCAACGAGTCGTGTTGAAAAAATTACTGAACAGAGAGTGGCAGAAGTACGGAAGAAGATAGGGCCACGGTGCAATAATTCTTAATTCTGAGATTTGAGTCAGATGTCTGAGAATAAAAAGTCAGAATTCTGAGATTAAAGTCAGAATTCTGAGATTAAAAATCAGAATTCTGAGATTAAAGTCAGAATTCTGAGATTAAAGTCAGAATTCTGAGATTAAAGTTAGAATTATAAAATTAAAAAGACAGAATTCTGAAATTAAAAAACTGAATTTGGAGATTAAAAAGTAAAAATTCTGAGATAAAAATCAGAATTCTGAGATAAAAAAGTCAGAATTCTAATTCTAAGATTAAAAATACAGAATTCTGAGATTAAAAAATCAGAAATTTGAGATTAAAAAGTCAGAATTCTGAGATTAAAATGTCAGAATTTTCAGATAAAAAAAATCAGAATTCTCAGATTAAAGTCAGAATTCTCAGATTAAAATGTCAGAATTCTCAGATTTAAAAAAATCAGAATTCTCAGATTAAAATGTCAGAATTCTCAGATTAAAGTCAGTAATTCTGACATTAATCTCAGAATTCTGACTTTTTTTCTCAGAATTAAGGGTAAAAATATTGCACTGTGGCCCTAATCCTTTTCCATACGTAAGTGTTTTTCATGAATTCAACCTTTATTTAGACAGGTTAATCCCATTGAGCCTCGGGGACATTGGACGTCACACATGTACATTTATTTTTGTTCCTTGGAAGAGATGATGGGTTAAAAAGTACGACGGAGCTTTAGGGCCACACTAAGAAAATAAAAAAAGCAGACTGGATCGATTGACAGGTCTCGTTGTGGATCCGGCTCATGGGAAAAAAAAAATAAAAAAATAAATGAGAGCTGACAAAAAAAGTCTCGTACGACTTTATTCTCGTAATATTAAGACATTATTAGACTTTATTCTCATAATTTAATGTCTTTTAATTTTTTTTGTAGTGTGGCTCTATAAAGCTCCGTCGTAAGAAAGACCCACTTCTAGTTTTCAAGAATAAGTTCTGAGTTCAGCAACAGTGGAAGTCGATGAAAATCATGAGTCGTACAACAACAAGAGACAAACAGAGTGGCAGAAGGCTGACATGTTCACGTTCTGGTGTATAAAGTGTCAAGAAGTGTAAAGTTTGTGGGATTACAAAGAGGTAAAAGTTTAGACAACTTATAAATTAAGGGTGACATCATCACACAAGTTAAACAACTCTGTGCTTCAATCCCCAAAAACCATTAAGTTCCAGTTCAGCCATGAGAAGTCCAGCTTTCTCAGAGCCGCTGGTTTCCTGGTGAAGTACATCAGAGCCGTGCAGCTCCAGAAAGAACTGCGTTTTCTCACTCGTTTTCCCAAAATCCCATTGTTGTCTACAAAATACAACAAAATGTATCAAATTGCTACAAAACGTTGCGCATACTATATTCCCACTCGCTCTGTTGCATTTTGAAACATCTTACTCTTAATTAAATGTCATTCTGTGAAAATGTAGTCTTTTATTTTTTTATGAATTAAAAAAAATATTCACCATGCGGGACAAGATTTCCCTGTGGTCCTAATTGTTTCCAAACACTAAATTACCGTGCAGATCATTTAGAAGCTCTGCCTTCGCCGCGGTGTCACACATTCATCTGGGTTGAAAGGATTAGTTTGGCATCCGTCTTCTCATTACGCAGCGTTCAGCCAAGCTCTCGAAGAGGAGACTGGGCCGGAGTGGTGTTGGCGACGTGACGAATACGCCGCGGCGCCGGGTGGATCAGCTGACGAAGTGCTGGACGGCTGCTGGCACCGATGCTGATAAGTGTTAGAGCTCGGAGCTAAACGGGCTGATGAAGTTCCACTGTTACACTTCTTATCTTTCAGATTAAAGAGGCAGCTGATAGGACATCTTTATGACCTCAGATAAGTTTTTTTTTTTACCCCGTGGGAAGTAAAACACACACCGTGATGACTTTTGACACATTGAATGTGATCAAACCACATCACACTTTGGGATCAAGATCTTTAGGTGATGATCGTGATTTAAATGTTGCTCAGCAGCTGCAGGGAAAGAGGAGCGGGGCAGAAATGAGATGGTTGCTGCTGCTCTCCCAAGCACAAAACGCGCTTGTAAAACAAGAAGGTGTCGGGTGTGTGTTCACAGGTTTTTGCTGATGTTCGGTTCAAAGGGGGGGGGGGGTGGTCATGGGGCTGCAGCTCATCATTGTCCTAGCTTTTAGCTAATTGCAGCATGTGACTTGAAGGCAGCTGAGGTTGACTGGTGGAACACCTGGTGCAGAAAAGTGCACAACATCCTCCTAAAGGCAGCAGATGGAGCGAAGGAGCCAGGGAGGGGGTAGGGAGGGGGTAGGGGGGGGGGTGCACGGAGGTGACTGCAGTGGGATGAATACCCACACTCAGTTTCTAATGAGTTTTAGACAATCACACTTGACTTTGTGATATTTCACAGGACCCAGCTACCACCACAGTCACCTACTACCATGACACATTTTAGCTGCACAATAAACATGAGCTTAGTTAGAGCTATTTTCATGTTGGCTATGGTTGATTAGCTGCGGCGGCCATTTGAAACTGGATCGACTTCATATAGTTAATGAGATCTGGACGCACATCCGAGGATTACTTTGGTTTTCATTAAAATCCGTCTAGTGGTTCATGAGATATTTTGCTGACACACTGCTGAGTCCTGTAATGTCGAACTTTAGGCATCAGTGGGGAACCCGCAGGGCCTTCAGTGTCTTCAGAGAAGGCCTAAGAATTGGGCACATCTTAATTTTTATTTTAATAGTAGTCCCTCGCTACTTCGCGGTTCGTTTATCACAGACTCGCTCTATCTCGGTTTTTCAAAATAAGATTGGACATGACACACAATTGGCTGAATGATGAAAGAGCCGCGCGATCGGCATGGAATTTTTATTTAAAATAAATTACTTTTAAATTATTTAGCACCTGCTGCACCTGTGTGCAGCCCACACTGCAGGATAAGCTTCCTCCTGCAGCTGATCAGCTGTTCACCGTACAGAGCGGAGGAGTGGGCGTGGCCAAGAGCGCTTGCAGGTGGCAAAAAGCAGCGGAGGCAGGGAGCTGAAATCATGACATTCTGTGTTCTTTTAAAGCGTTTAGAGTTTAGGAACAAAGTTGAAACGTTCATCTTAGGTGCATGTCCACTGTGAGAGACATAATCTTAAAAAAAAAAAAATCCAGAAATCACAATGTATGATTTTTTAAAAATAATTTGTTTGTTACTGCTGCTAATAAGTATTTGAACACCTGTGAAAATCAATCAATTTAATCAGCTAACGACCACAAACAGGTGCTTCTAATTGAGAATAACAAGTGGAGGTGGACTAACAGGTCTTTGAGGGACAGCATTGTTGCTGATTGGCAGGTGTTCAAATACTTATTTGCAGCAGTAACACACAAATAAATTATTTTAAAAAATCATACATTGTGATTTCCGAATTTTTTTTTTTTTTTAAGATTACGTCTCTCACAGTGGACGTGCACCTAAGATGAAAATTTTAGACCCCTCCATGAATTCTAAGTGGGAGAACTTGCAAAGTCGCTGGATGTTCAGATACTTATTTTCTTCACTGTGTGTGTATATATATTATTTATTTATTTATTTTTAATAATAAAATATACTACTACTTACTACTTGTACTACTATTCCTTCTTGGCGGT